CAAGTTTTCCCCTGGGACACCTCTGCTGATCACACAATGTATCTGACTGGCATGGATGTAGAAGTGCTTTCAATATAGATTTTATTTCAAGGTTGGATGATTTCTCCCCAAATGTCACTAAAGCAAAGTATGTCATACCTTTTATTTTTTAACTCCTGTGAACCAGCAATTGCTAAGGAGAGAAACATAAAATGTTGAGCTAGAACCTGTTCATCATGAGTCAAATTTTAACATGTTCAAATTGACTGGGAGCTCTGCAATAGCAAAATTCAGAAAACTGCTGCATAAAACCTGGCCCGTAACAGAGCAGTGAAAAGGCCTGTTAACAGCGTTATAACTGAGGTGAGTTGAAGGCAGCTGAGATATTCTCATGGCCAAGTCCTTAAGCTAGAACATTACATTTGCATATGCCTGTGTATATATAGGAAACAGATATTAGCTAATTTGAGGATAATTACTGGTAAAGTGAATCAATGGGATGTGCAGACTTTGATCCATTAAGGCAGTTCATAGGAACTTACACATCAAATCAGCCTCCTTGTCCATGGTAATGAGCACCTCTGACTGTGACAGTGGTTGCTAGCACAGTTCAGCAAAAGTACAAAACCTACCCAAATGGGTTGTCATGGAATAATCCACTTAAGGAGGAGTTGCTATCTAATTCTGTGAGGTTATTGTTATACAAAGAAGACAGGAGTCATAAATGCATAATTTTCTCTCCTTTCTGGGCAGTTTTCTCTATTCCCTTGCATCTTCATTCTTTCTTGGCCTCTGTTTAGATATTGGTTTCTGCCTCCCATGGCAATGGCTTCCCTAGTTAAGTCAAATATTGTTCATAATGCTGGTAAACAGGATTCTGATAAAATCAAAACCTGCTTTTATCCTTCTGCCTTCTACTTAATTCAGAGGCGATTTCTACACCTGTCATTCTGGCCCATAATATTTTAGCAAGTGACTTGGTCTTATTCTTTTGATGCCCTAATTTTGTAATGTGTTGCCCTTAAGTCATAGTCTATGTTACCAGTTCATGGAAGAGTAGCAGGGTTTTATTAGTGAAAAGTTACTCTTAGGTATAATTTAAAATGGTAAAAGAGTACTAGGCATGGCTAAACCCAGTCCTTCAAAGAATAAGACTGTCCCTGACACTGAGCAAACTTAAATCCTCATGGGCTGGGAAAGGCTAAATAAGCAAGACTGAGCAGTTCTCAATACAGATAGCAGAGGACAGCTGTACACTCAAACTCTCCAGCTCGCTATAAAATGGTGCACTTTCCGTAAGGGCTTTCCTCCTTAAGTATACTGACTTCTTTATTTTTTTATGTGCACTAAGAATATTAAAATGTTGAGGAATCAGTCAGTGTTGAAACGCTTTCCCCTCCTCAGCAATTATTGTGGGGTAAAAATGAAGACCATTTTCTAACACCTAGTGTCTTTGAAGTAATAATCCAGTGTGTTTTCCAAATGTCAAAATTAATAATGTTTTTATTTAGAGACTTTGAAAAGTGTAGGTTTAATGGAACTAGAGAGGCAAACACCATACAACGACCCTCTTAGTTGTAGACTTGCCCTTCTCTCAGTCACATGCTTTCCAACTTACAGTTGCCTTGGCAACCGCCAAAGCATAAGTTCCAAGTATTTTTGCTTATGTATCTGCCACTGACACAGAGCCTTCCTATCATACACTTCTGTTTTAATACATAATTAATTTCATTACTATTATTAATAAGAACTGTACTTTCTGCTTATCTCCTGACTTGTGATATAAAGCTTCATTCTTGAAGCATGCTTATTTGGGGAAAAAAAAAGTCTTGCACAGCATAATGCCCAACAATTTCTTGATATGGTTCCAACATCTGCGGCACTGGATTATAGATTGTTTCTAAAATAATCTTAAATTGATCAATCATTGCTCCTTTCATTTGGCCTTGAACAAAAGTAGCTCTGGTATTTTCTTTCACTTTTTATGTTGTAAATGGTGCATCACTTTTCCTGTTCTTTTTCTTGCCAAAAAAAAAGAATACTTGCCCATTTTACAGGGATTTTCTATTTCAACAACTCAATTTCACCTAGTAGCTACAATAATAGCTTTAACTGGACATATTTGGTTTTGGTTTGCTTCGACTCTTACTTTTGCGGACAGATGAAAAAAAATAGATACAGAATTTCACTGGTAAATATTTGTAATTTAAAAAGACATAAGGTCCTAAACTTAAAACTATTTTATTGAGGATGATTGACTTCATTCCTTCTTTCCCTCCAGTAACTGTATTTTACCACAGATTTTTTAACTACTAGGACTTTCCATGTTTCCAAGTTTGTTTGGCTTATATTTTTTTTTTTGTCATAATGGTGATCAAAACAAGTATAACTGCATGAATAGATAAAAATAATTTTAAGAGATGTTCTGAATACAAGAATTATTATTCTGGTATTAAGCTTAGAGGCCCCAAATATACATGGTATATTTATTGCCATGTCCTAAAACGATGAATCACAACAGATAGCTGGTTCCCCCCCATCACCAACACACACCATGGACACCTTCCCTTCCTTCATGCCACACATTCACCTCCTGAGAGGTGAGCAACAGCAGACCATGTGATGGCAATGGTTGGACTCAAACAGGACTTTGCATGAACAATGGCATCTCCAGGAAAAACAAGGGGAATTCTGATGCAGAAAGACGGCAAACAAGAACAGAGGAGTTGGCCATTCATCTTCCATTTTTATGTGTCCACATACCAAACATAGGATCTCAGCATCTTGCTGCAAATTTTATAGATAAAAGAAGTCAGTCTTCCCCTCCCTTCAGTAAATTGAGCTCTGCTACCACTGTTCTTCACCATGGAACATATCTTCATCCATGGTCCACTGCCACATTCTCCCTGCATGGTGTTTCTCCTCTAGCTTCATCAATGCTATCCATTACCAACACCACCTCATTGGAAAACCATAACTGATGTTAAACTGATGATCATAGAATCATAGAATAGTTAGGGTTGGAAAGGACCTTAAGATCATCAAGTTCCAACCCCCCTGCCATGGGCAGGGACCCCTCGCCCTAAACCATATTACCCAAGGCCTCGTCCAACCTTACGCAAGATAAATATTTTCTTTTCCCCTGATGAACTAGCATCTCTACCTGTGCTGATGTCATTTGCAAATACTTGTAACAAGCTCAACAGAAGTAAAGTCTCTATCACAAGGAGGCCCCAAGCTTGATGCATGTGCTTCTGCATAAGTGGCATTAAGTAAAACAACCTAGTCACCCTTGTAAAAAAAATGTAACAAACTTCTTTTTATAATGATAATGTGTGAAAAATGTGTTGTCCATCAGAAGCACACATAGTCATTTGCCAACAAAGCTACTAACTTTCGAGACTTTCTAAACTCCTAAGAGATGATATGCTAATATTACCCAGAGGAAAGCTGGGGTTTTTAAATTTTTTTGGTTTTCTTTCATTTATAATGAAGACATTATATTTGAAGAAATTAATAGTTCTGTCAAGCTTATTAGTGCCATATGGAGAGTGGGTTTTTTTTTGCAATGGACACCATAGTTACAAACGTAAGGCAGAACTAAGTAATGTTTCCTATTTATAAATGGGGAAAAAAACAAAATGTTGATGTTCAAGGAATGTAGTACACAAGATTGGCAGAAATCTACAAGACAATGCTCTTTGCTATGTAACCCCTGCGCTAACATGAAAGAAACTTTTTCTTAAGTAACTGAAACAATTATGTTTCATTAAGTTCTTTCACTTACAGTGTGGCCTGCTGTAAATTCAGCAACAGATATGGGAAAACAGAGAGCTATAATGATTTTTAAATTGTTTTCTGGATTTAAAAAAGATAAATGAATGACAATGGTGGGGGGGAGAAATCAGAACTTGGCTTCAACACTCCACTTGGAATATTTAAGTTAAAACTAGCAGGTTAAGAAAGCATCCATAAATTCAAGCATTTACATATTAAAGTTACATTTAGTTCACATTCCTTGGTAGAGTTGTGAAATTTATTTATAGAATATATATTTTCATTTACTAGTGTTTCCAACTTAGGATATATTAGATATTCTGGGATTGAGAGAAATGGATTTCTACTTTGTTCATACTCACCACTGCAGAGATTTATGTGAAACTGCCTACCTAAACTCCACCCATTAAACCTATATTGTTCTTATACCAGAATTCTCCATCCTTAATGCCATTCCCACAAGAATATTGTCTTAATACAGACATAAGATCAACTTTTAATAATAATAGTCCTCTTCTTGTAATTTTGTGTGTAATAAAGATGTCAAACATTATAATCCTTACCATTATTTTCTAAGTCATCTCATTAAGGTATGTGGTCTCAGTGTCTTTCACGAAACTCTGTGCCAGAATAAAGCATGCAAAAGTTTTTAGTTATTAAAATTTCACAATCCATTTCATACCATACTAACTTTATTGGATTTAAATTAGCAGAAGGAATGTGTTTCATATGCTCTCTATATTAAGGGACTTATTTTGATTTCTAACTCTTTCAGTGCTGGAGACCATGTCAAGAGAAGCAAAGAAGCTTCTCCCTGGAGCCACCAAAACTATTGACACCAAAAGTGCTCAATTCCCTTAGCATAAAAGTGCTCAATTCCCTTAGCATAAAAGCAATCCCTATTTTCAGTATCTAAATGTATGAGATCAGAAATTATTGCCTTACAGTACACACACTAACTAATGCTCACTTACCAGAAATCAGCAAATCATGCCCTGATATGAGAGTACTGGAAATGGGCCTCTAGACTTCCACCCTGCGTACATGTTGCTGACTGGAGCTGACTCTCATTTGCTTTCTGCCAGGTTGACAGAAGTTGTCTCTTACCTCCTTTTTTCTTGCTCTTTGATAACTAAAAAACCATCCATGTTAGGAGAATCAATAAAAAAGAGACTCTGTATAGTGCAACAGTGACTCCTTTGACATCCCCCTTTTTTTGACCAATTCTTTCCTTTCGTCAACAGGATAGCAGCCAAGGAATCCGTGAATCTTATGTCAACACAAAGCTTAGGAATTGTGTTTGGACCAACACTGCTTAGACCTGAAAAGGAGACAGGGAACATGGCAGTCCACATGCTGTACCAAAATCAGATAGTTGAACTTATGTTGAGTGAGTACAACAAGATCTTCGGCTCTGAAGAAGACTGACAGACAGGGCCTGTTATTGAAAGCATTCACATCTGTCTTGATATCTAATATTTTTACATTTCTGTAAACATATTTCTGAAATATTTCTTTTTCATTCAAGTAACAGATGCCTCATTTTGTGAAAACTTCATGATGATTTTGTGTTTAATTTTCAAACATTGGAATAAAAAATATTGTCAACATTTGCCTATATGTATTCTGCATTAACCCTTTGAGAGTTTCATTATGCTAGCACTCCAAGTGTCTTTTTTTTTTTTTTGCAAGCTGAGCATACAGCATATGGCCAAAGACCATAGAAAATGCTGTTTACCAACATATGCAATGGCACAGAAAGACAAATAATAATTGAGATATGTGGGAAATGGATTAAACTATGTATATTAAGAGCAATTAATTAAAACAGTAATACCAGATCATTTGTACCTAATCTGAGTATAATTTACCTTCCTCTTTGATATATATTGAAAGCTAAAGACATGATAAATTTAAGTTGCCTACCTCAAGAGTTAAAAAAAGAAATTACATTTAATATTTCTAAGCAACAACAAAACAACAGCCACAAGATAGAATGTCACTATTTGCATAACAGTGCCTAAAAAAAAGAATTAAAAATGGAATTGGAACTTTGGCATTTTTACTTAAATGCAGTACATGAAATGAAGACATTGCATGACTGCTCATTTTAATGTAACATCCATTTTGATTCTTCATCACACTGTACATCTGCCTGCTTTCCCCAGCTATCTCATGTTCTGTAGCATTTGTATTGTGCTCCTGAGGATGCTTTATTGGTGAACTACATTAAATTCATCTAGAAAGAACTTTAAAAAAAAAAGCCTTTTCATATGCCCTTAGGATTACTTGGCTAGACTTGAATCAATTTATGCATTTGATGGTTAGTTTCAGTTGTCATGGATAAACAAAAGGGTAACTGTCTAGAATATATCAAATATTGTTTCATTTTGAAATGTATGTATCCAGCTATATGCATCTCCTACCCTGTTTTGTAAGAGTATTCTGCTGATAAAACGTAGACTTATGTTTGACAGCTTTTTAATCAAGTTCAAAGAGAATAAATAAAACTAATCCAGTGTGGTAAAGAGTCTGTCTGGTTATCGATTTGTTCAGAAAATGAAAAATAAACCATGTAAATAAGATGTGTGAAACACAGATCTAGAAGCAAATATTTAAAGCAATTAAAGACCCCAAAACATAGGATTAATGCATAGGTCTTCTGTGCATGAGAGATATGTCTTCCATATCACCTCGGCAGATCATGGATTACTTCAGTTTTTGCTTAGCGTCGTTTTGCAAACTCCCATTTTATTCGTAAAAGGTTGCTCCTCAGAGCAGTCATTTATGAGAACAAATATATAATGAGGCTTGATACTTAACTAAGACCAGACTCTTTCATCAGGTGCTGACATAGGGAAAAAATAACACTGGGAAAACATAGTTGGCCCCAAGATGTTTTCTGACTTCATACATGTCTGAAAAAGTCAAACTAAACAGAGAGGTAGTGACCATTAATTAAAACTAAAAACACAATACAAAAAAAGATCTCCCCATATCACAAATATCCAACATAATAATTTCTGAACAAAACTATAATGTTCTGAAGAACCCAAATTTACTTTCTTTCAAAAAAAATATTTTTTGTGCTAATGTCAAGCCATGACTACTTAAACAGTAATGCTTTTCAGCATAGTTGTCTTTAGTCTCTTTTAATAGCAACAAACGAGGCGCTGTTTATAGCCTGTGGAAGTGACTGGAAGAACGATAGAAGTCGAGTCTATTCCTTAATAAAGACCATTCTCACATTATGGTCCCATGGGTGCTCACAGTCATGCTATTGAAGTAATTTCTGCTATTACTGGAAATGAAAAGTTCACTTGTTTCTTGGATCCTGTTGCACTCAGAAGAAAAGGTTCTTAATTAATTAGTTAATCTCCTTTTGAGCTTTCTTTGGAGCATGGATACTCCTCTTGTTTTTGGAAGGAAAACAAGGCTTATGAAATGAACTCGTATCTTTCTTAAAATCAATTGGTGTGGTGGGTTGGGGGGTGTTGGAATGAAACTAACTTTTGGACACATAAGCCTTTCTTTGGTTTTGAAGGTTTCTTATGTAAATGCTGTACAAATATGCTGACTTCTCTACTAAATGCTTTGTTAAAGATAGAAGCCTGATACGTGGATAGCCAGATTTGGAAGGACTTAAGCGTCTTTCATCAAAGGAGTGTATATGTCCAGGTTGTATAGGGGATACCTATTTTTTCTCATCCTGACCACAGAAAGGAATATCTATGTTTTGCTGCCAAGCTGCTCCCTTCCCCAAGAGAACAGTTTTCTCCCTGTCTCCTTTGATATCTACATTAATTCAGTGGGAAAAATTACTGACTCAACCATTAGTCAAAGAGCCAGCCCCACAGCTTCTGCCATCAGCCCCTCAGGGTAGAAAGCAGCTGGGCCGAAGACAGTAAGAGTGGAAAAAAAGAAAAAGTGAAAAATATTTGCAAGCCTTAACTGCAGTGGGGTTTCTTTTTTCCTCCTGCTCAGGTAGTTTGCAATTTACTAACCAAGCTCAGAGCCCAGGGCTCCAACAGACTGTTTTGTTGCTGGACACATACATTTCTAAGTCTCAGAAGGCTCATAGAAATGTCCTCCATCCAGCATGAGCAATTCTCTGGGCCTATATTACCACTACATGCTCTTCCAATGGTTACTTATAAGAGTATGAAGATGCTGAGAGCACATGAAAATTAGACTTGCAGATCTTTTTCTCAGGAGCTAGCTTCCATTTGAGAAAGACTATAGATACTTTAAGCAAGGAGTTATCACTATTCATAATAAATGATCAGAGACAAATATGTCTGAAAATCAGTCTGTTTATCTGCATCTTCTCCCTATGCAGAGTATCTTCTACTTAAACTCATGTGGTAAGATAGCTGTCCTAGTAACTGGGATTACTATAAAGGAGAGAGATAGGAAAGAGACCTATAACAGAACTGAAAAGGGCATTTCCAGCCAGAAATATTTTTCATTTAAATAATTTAAAAAAAAAAAAGATTTATTGAATCTTAAACTTTTTCAAGAATTGTCAGGCTTTAACTCAAGAATTTCAACTGCAAAATAGAATTTCTGAGTAAACAATGAGAAAGACAGACTGACTTCCTGGGCTACAGCTAAAATAGTACACGTGAACAGCCCTGAGCAAATTTTCATCCCTCTTTTTCTTTACACACATATATATATATTAAGAACAACATGCATTTAATTCTTTAATTCTATGCTAGGACAGCTACAGTGTAGGTAACATTTAGCCTGTTTTTTTGCAAGCACCCCATGTTGCAACAGCGCTAAAGACTGACATTCAGCCCAAGGCACTCAAGAAGTTCAGCTAATCAATTACTACATAGTACTACCATGGGTGGAGTTTGGAAGAGAGCTGGAAAGTAAGTTGGGATCACAATCACCACTGTAATCAGGCAGTGTAAAGATTTTACACAACTAATTCTCAGAAAAGGCTGAAAGACAAGCCTCGGGGAATGCACATATTATCACGGCACAGCAGGTTCCCCCACACTGCATTCCTGTTTCAGAAAGGAAAGATGGAACATAAGCAAGCTGAGCATAATCACAGATGCAAGTCTCAATAGCGAGCTCTGATTTTTGTAGGATGCATAGATTGGGCCCGCGGCAACTCTTGTTTTGGAGAACATGGAACCTTCCTTGGCATCCACTTCAGATTTTTAAAAAAATCCAAAACCAAAACACAAAAAAACACCCTTGCCTATGGACCAAGGATAACAAATTACAAAAATCTCTGGTAAGTGGCCTCCAGTAAGCTGCCTGCTGAGGCTGAGCATACCTAAAGCCTTCACTGCTCAAGTGCTGCAGCCCTTGTTGACTAGTAGGCGTCACAGAGTGAATGCTTGCAGAATGATACTAAAGCAGAAATCTCATTCTTGTGTCAATTCACCCTGTGTTATCACAACAAATGAATATACTCTATCATTACATATTACACACTATTTTTACACTCAGCAATTGCATACTTCCAAACATACCTGAAATACTATGGGAATTAATGCCTATTTTTATCTTAGAGATCCTTGTTACGAAGATCTGGTTGCACACTGAATATAAAACATGAACCCTCACTTTAGTTTTTCACCCAAATCACATATTGAAGTAAAAAATATCTGCACTAAAAACTCAAGACATGAGAACTGGTGTTCTCGTATCGGTGGTGTGAGAAACTGAGGCACAGAGCCAGCCATGTCAAAAAAGAGCACTGCATTTTAGCGCTAATTTTAGTCAGCTTCATTTTTTGTTGTTTTGTTTGGTTTGGTTTGTTTTTTTTTCTAGAAATTTTATATTTTTCACCCTTGCTTCCTCTGAATTCACCCATATAATCCAGTATATGGGTTGTTACAGGCACTCAGCACTGCACATCCCTGCAACTCAAGAGCAGGGTAAACTCAAAGTAAACAAGAATTAGTAAAACTTTAGCTTCCAGACTCTTCCCCATGGTGAAGTTTGCAGGCTTTCTGAAGTTTACTCTTAAGCCCTCAGAGATAGTTCAGAAACAAAGGAAACCCACCATCACACAGAAAAGCAGGCTGTCCATGCACCTCCAAAAGCCACACACTGTAAAACCTGGGGTGATATCCTAAAACTTCAGTGGAAGCTGACAGTATTTTTAACAAGTTTAAGAAGAACTATAAAACACTGCATATTCAGAATGCATGACAGTTAATTACCCCCAAAACACTACCACTTTAGAACACATTTCAGTTAATAAAAGGTACTAATAAATTTCACTATATTCTCCTCCACCTGTGTCAAAATACAATTCTTATGCTCATCTCCTATCCATACACTTCTTGGCTGCATGTCTGGGAGACAAAAGGAGTAACTATCTAGCCACCAGTAATTTCTATATTGTCTCAAAGCTCAAAAGCATTCAAAGAAGCAGATCAGAACTTTTTTGAATGTTTTCTGGTTGCAATTTTGGGTACATGGAGGTGTGCCCTCTGCTCTGGAAAATGAAAGCAACCGTATTAAAAGCAGTTCAACTGGTCCATTGCTCAGCCTCCAGTCTACCCACTGCAGTGACAAAGGTGCAAGAAATGCAATCTTCACATCTAGCTGTCCCACAGTGGATGTTTCTTTGTAGCCCCAGGGAGCAAATGGTTTTAAGTACATGGCTGAACACCCGGTATACATTTCTATCTTCATGTAGTTTCTGTCACTTTTTATCCATTTTTAATCCTGCCAGGCTCTTTGTCTTAATGGTATCTGATGGATTTCCCAGGTTAATTATGTACCATGTAAGAAAATATTTTACTCGTATCACTTTTAAATTCATTGGCTTTTAGTATTATTGTACAGCACCCCACTTCCTCTTGATTTATGGGAAAGGTTAAATAGGACTGTCTGACTGACCTCTTCTGGCAATTCACTCTCCTATATACTACTAACATATCACCTCTCATCTGTCTCTTAATCAATTTAACTTTCCCTCATATAGAAGATCTGCCACACCTCTTATACCTTGCTCTGTCTTTCACTGGATGCTCTGTGTATCCAGTCTGCCCTTTTAAACAAAACCCGAAGTATTCAAGGTGAACGGATCCTTAATATTTTCATTATTGATCTCTTTTTCTTAAAAGAATCGAGTAGCACATTTGCAACAGATTGCTCCTATGCACTGAAGAGCTGTCCCTAGTGCTCCCCACAGACTAGATTCACAAGGGAATTTGGGGAATTAAATGTTACTTCTGGTCCATACAGAGAATATATCAGTGCTGCTAGTTTCTCCCTTGTGGCTATCTTACCATGCAGCTATCCAGATTTGCATCAGCAGCTTTAGCCACACAACCCTGGCAGCAGCAAGAGGACGGAAAGCAGGGTGGGAAGAGACTGCCCAAGACTGCTCCTGTGCTGCAACCCAGAGCAAGATGAGAGAAGGCAAGGTGGAAAGACTGCTCAGGTCTCTTCCTGTGTTATGACTCAAAGCACTGAGAGCAGGAGCTACTGAGGGATGTTTCAGACTCCCCACGGGATTAATCAAAATGTGTTTGTATGTATAACGACA